AATTTTAAAAATTTAACTTAGTTAAGATACAAATTAACCCATAATGAAACTAATTGAATTAAACTTAAGTTAATAATAAAAGGAAATTAAAATGTTAAAAGTTAAATTTGTTTTACAAAATCTTAGAGACTCGCGATCACGTGAATTGCTTTGAATTTTACAGGCGCGCGGCAACTCGCGACGCCTTTGTTTATCACATGGCTATTTTTAAGAAAAGTAAATTAAAAGTTAAAAGTTACCAATAAAATATAACTTAGTTAAGTTAAAAGTTAACAGTTTATAATGAAACTAAGTTAAGTTAAAATTATTGAACTTTCTAACTTTTTAACTTAACTTTTATCTTTTTAACTAGACGGTACCCAACCATGTGAAAATGTGGTTAACCAACGCTGATAACAAAGGTCCGTATTTGAATTATGGAGGTGGCAAGACTGGAGTACATATTCTGACTCATGCAAACATATTACAAACATTACACAACAAATTGTATCCTACCAAACTGCCTGAATTCACGCCAAAATTAAAATCAAGGTATATATGTCTAAACATTACGTGTACAATTATAAATTATGTTTTGTCAACCTAAAAAAAGGAGAAATAGTTATTATACATGATAAACAGCATTAATAATTCTGTTCATTGTCAGAGGTAGAGTGCATCAAAGTGACGTTTCTGAAGGATGGTCTGTACCGCTTGGGTACTTACCCGATGGTCCACTAGCTCTTCGTACACAGCGATTCTTGTATGACAAATACAAACAGAGGCCTGCGCAAGTTCAATTTTATGCTACGTTTCCGTTAGTATACATATAGCGATAAAAATATCACAAATGTTGAGAAATAATTTCTACTAACGTACGTTTATTATTAGGTCTTTCTTTGACTTGTTGATACTCCCCATTGCTATAATAATATTATGGCTCATGACGCGCATAGAGTGGAGTCGTAAGTTATTTTTAAAAGTACGTATCGAAATATTTACGAGTGTCAAAACTATTTAGATAATGCGAGATAATTAAACGCGATATTTGCAGTATCCCTGTCTATTTACATTGGGTTTTATCAGTGACAAAAACCCGAATCCGGAAGCATGGAAATCGATAACAATTTCTTTTACGATTAGAGCCCGTGGATGGACCGAAATGTTGGCCGAACCTACCAACAAATATACGAATCCGCCTAATAAGGAAGTAATAACTAAAGTCTCCGTTGTTTCTCCTGCATACGAAACGACCAGTATTATGACAATCTTATCGGCAATAACAATCCTTAACGAGACCGATAAAATGCCTGACAAGTGAGTGAGGAATCATTAATCATTCTCGTGTCTATCTTACGGACGTTTCTTGAATATATCGCAGTTTTTGAATTTGTAATATAAATAATAATAATACAATAATATTTACATGTTAAACTTCAGCTTTATTTTTATGTTATTGTATTTTTACAGCGGAGGCGTGCTCACTCCCGGTGCTGCATTTGGTAAAACATCTCTGGTCGAACAAATGAATAAACATAATATTAAATTCGAGGTTATATCGTCTACTGTGAAATAGAGACAAATGCAAAAGTAAGATACAATTTTCACTAATAGAATTCTTTTTTAAGAGGATCCCCCAGCCTTTGATGGTGTGCGCCATCTAAACACAAAACGCAGCATACATGAGCACACGGACACACTACTACGATACATCACACCCATGCATAAACGCGAAAATTTCATACTAACTATACTCTTATTTTAAACCTCTAATCCCAATTTAGAGGGTTTCACAGTAATTCTACATGTCACCCATAC